GACGAGATGCTGCCGCTTCGACCCCGACGCCAGCCCAGGCGCAGGCCTCCGATTCTCAGGTCGCGGAGGACACCTCCCGGAGGCGGCCCTGCCGGGCCTGCGTGGACTTCAAAACGTGGATGCGAACGCAGCAGAAGGTGCAGATACCGGGGGAGGGGGGGCGCCACCTCCCTGCAGAGTCCCGCGAGCCCTACGAATCTTAGACCCTGCCCACACACGCACCCTGGCCGTTGACCCCCAACACCTTGTTCTCAGGCACCCCGGGCAGACTTCCCAAGGCTAGGCCGAGCGTTCCCGGAGGCCCTATACCTGCTGGACTTCTAGCCACCAGGGTTGACTGTCCTTAAACCTCACCCCCACGGTAGGCCCGACTTTTTTGGCTCTTAGCCACATGTGGGCTGGATCGGCCACAGAACTTCTGTCTCTAGTCAGTGGGGCTCTGGCTGGGGCGGAAAACAGGGGAGCTTTGTAGGCTTCTATTATGGTACGGGAAAACTGAACTGACCTTTGGTCGGCCTCCTTCCGCAGCGGGACAGCAAGTTTAGGGAAGATTGTCCTCAGGATCGCGAGGAACTAGGCCGCCACAGCTGGGCTGTCCTCCACACCTTGGCTGCTTACTACCCTGACCTGCCCACCCCAGAACAGCAGCAAGATATGGCTCAGTTCATACATTTATTTTCCAAGTTTTACCCGTGTGAGGAGTGTGCTGAAGACATAAGGAAGAGGTAAGTGGTGTCTGCACCTTTTGCAGAGTGGAGCCTGGGCCTGGGGCCTCTGGCTGATGTCATAATCAGGAACCTAGAGAAATAGATGCAGAGATGGCAGAGGGTTGCCGGCAGCAGGGACCACCAACAGAGTAGGGATTGGGTCATCTAAGCCATCTCCTTTTCTCCTCAGTGGTCAAGCCACCTGGGGCTGCTGCTGGGTACTGCTGCTTTCTGCAGCCACAAGGCTTCCAGGAGGGTGGGAGGAGTGTGCTTCCCTCATGAAATACCTTGCTTCACACAGATGGAGGCTCTGGTAGGTTTAGGAGGACTCCACTTTGACTTCTGAAGCAGGACTGCCAATTTCAAGACCATGGGAACCCACTGCTTTTGCTTCCAAGAGCCACCTTTTCTTCATGGGGGAGCCCAAGAACTATTATTTGGCACAATAGGGGTTTCTGGGCTGGATGTGGGGGTCAGGGCAGCCCTTGATGTTTGAAGCCTGGGCAGTTAAAACCAGGTCTCTTGCTGAGCTGAGGCTCCAGGGCCCCAGGTGAAAAGAACCCGGCTGGTTTTCAGTTTTGGCTTTGTGCCAGCCCCACACACTGCCTGGGGCCAGGGACGCTGGGGTGAGGCTTCCTGATTGTTATGAGATTGTAAAGTTGAGGCCTGTCCCTTAATGTCTTGCCCTGGGCTCCTGTCAAGGTTTGCCAAGCTCTCCAGGTGAGGGTTTGAGTGGGACTGGGAGTTCACCAGGCCTTGATGCTGCAGGGTCAGCCCTGTTCTGGGGGTTCCTCTTGGGTGTAGCCTCAGCAGTGCCCTGGCTCTCATCCCGGAACTGAACAGGCAAGGAGCTGGTGGGGCAGGGGCAGTGGGAGCCCTACTTGCCCCCATCCTCCATGAGCAACTCCCCCCACCCCATGCAGGATACACAGGAACCAGCCAGACACGCGCACTCGGGCGCACTTCACCCAGTGGCTGTGCTGCCTGCACAATGAGGTGAACCGGAAGCTAGGCAAGCCAGACTTCGACTGCTCGCAAGTGGACGAGCGCTGGCGTGACGGCTGGAAGGATGGCTCCTGTGACTAGCCAGCAGAGAGGGTGGGGCGCTCATTAAAGTGCCTCAGAGCCAGAGCCTGTTGTGTCTCACCTGTGTTGGGTGGTCCCCAGATATTGCCCATGGAGCCCTTCCCCTCTCAAGTTAGGGGTAGAGGTGGAGATGCCCATTCCCGGCACCCTGATGGCCTCCTCAGCCACCACCCTGTGGGGCTGCAGGTGAAGGAGGCAGGAGCAGCGTAGACTGTCCTTTCCATAGAGGATTCAGCCTCCTGCTCACTTGCCACCCTGGTGCCCCACTTCCCCCAACAGGAAGGCAACAGACCTGGCTGTCTCGCCCCTCCAGGCCAGGCCATTGTCTCCTAACCTTGTAGCTAGGGAAAGCAGATGTGGTTGTAGCCCCAGGGGCTGTGTGCTGTTTGCACATCAGGAAAGAGGCCTCGGAGGCTGAGCTCTGTTGCACGCAAGTCCCTGTTCAACCTGTGGCCTTGCCTAGCTGTACCAGGCCTGTCAGAGGCTTTGTGAACTTGAGACCAAAATAAAATGCTGGAGAAGTGACTGAAGACCTGGCTGTGGTGTGTTTTGTGCCAGGACTTGCAGCGATGGACAGGGCCTGCCCTTGTCCCTCTATAGTCTACTGCTTTCTCCCGTCTGGGTTCTGGCTCCTTAGGAAGTGGGAGAGGTCCCAAGGCAAGAAAGAGTGGGTCAAGATGTTCCAGGAACAGCAAGGAGGCCGAGGAAGGGTCAAAGAGGCAAGGAGAGGTCACAAGGCAGGAGTCCTCAAGGCCCTAGGAAAGATGTGGTTTTAAGACCCAGCTCCTGTGACAAGAAGGTCTGGAAGGATTTGGAACAGAGGAATAGCAAGATGTGACTTTTGAAAGGTCCCTCTGGCTGCTGAGCTAGAATGAGGCAGGCGTGGGCAAGTGCAGGGAGGGCAGGCACCCATGTGGCAGCTTAGAGGGAAGCTCACCCAAGGGTGGGTAGGAGAGATCGCTGGATACACTCAGGGTGGAGCCCAGGGTGACTCCGGGATTCTGGCCCAAGCAGCTGGAAGGATGGAGTTGCCCAGTGTATTAATGAAATGCAAAAAGGCTGTAACTGGAGCAGGTTTGGGGGTGACCTGGACTCAGCTTTTGGGCCTTCCTGGATCTTCGCAGCCATACCTGCTCCTAGGCCTTGGCTCCTGGCTTCCCAGCTGGAATGGCCCAGCAACAGTGTGCCCCATCCCTGTGGTCGTAAAGCTCTGGTCACCTCTCTCCATGGTGTCTCAGCTTCTCCCTGGGCAGGTGCCAACATTTGGCACAGTCTCCTCGGCACCTTTACCCCACTGGCCCCATGGGGGTGCTGGTTTCTGCAGGGCCAGGTGATGCAAAGAAATAGGCAGGGAGCCACCAGCAAAGGAGTCATGGCTCTTTCCTTCCCTAGCACAGAGCTTCTCTCTGGCTTTTCCCAAGTCACCTGTATGCTGGGAGCCAGCAAAGCTGTAGGAGCTCAGGAGCACCATCTGTATTTGCTCTCCCTCCTTCCCTGCCTCGCCTCCCTTTTTCCCTAACCCTGGCTCCCCCGAAGCTTCACTGCCCATTAAAACTCTTACTTGGCTGCAGACTCGGTTTTCTAGGGCCTCCAGGCTAAGACAAGTGGGATTGTAATTTAAGGGAAGGTTCTGGCTCCAGCTGTCAGCACAGAGATGAAAGGAGTGGACACAGAGCAGGGAGAAGAGACCCAGGACCATGCTCTGGGGCCCCCTAAGGTTCAGGGGTCACAGATTGAACAAGAGGAGGGAACTGGGAAGGGGTGACAAGAAAGGGCCCAGGAAGTTGGAGGAACACGAGGAGAGGGTGACATGGGCAGTATTCCCAGGAGGACAGGGACAGGATGCAGTGCCTGAATTGCCCCAGAACTAAAAGGAGCAGTGACAGCTGGAAGTGGAAGTGGCCTTAAGAATGGAGGTTTTAAAAAAAAGAAGAATGGAAGTTTGTTTTTGAGTTACAAGAAGGTAGCACGTTTATGCACTGATGTAAATGATCAAGTAAAAGGGAGAACAAATTATGCGTGGGACCAAGAGGGGGGACTGTCACTGACAGGCGAGAGGTGATGGGATTGGATGTATAGTGTAATGGAGTTGACCAGTGGATGGCCACATCTGGGATAACAGGTACCACTGTCCACACCACCCAGATGGCATGGTTGGGAACTGGGTTTGAATCCCAATCCTTTACTTTCCATGATCAAGGACCTCAAACAGCCTGCCTATTGACCAAACTATGGGGGTAAAACAGTCCCTACCTCTGCAGGTTGTGGTGAAATGCCTGGCATTAAATGTTCAACCATTGCAGACTTTTCTCAATGCCTTAGACAGACATGGGAGTAATCTGGGCCCCTGCTGGCTGGCTGGAAGGAACATGAAGGAAGGAACCCTTATCTAACAGGGGCTGGGCGATATGTGGCAGAGACCTAGTAAGTACATGGGGCAGCTAGGCACCAGCTCTGCCAAACTCCCCATCTCTGATGCTTCTGCCCACTCCTTGGCCCCAGACTAAATACGTCAGCCAATGGTCAGTTGAGGAGGCCCAGGAGTGCGGAGGGTTCTGTGAGCACCCTTGGAATGACAACATCCAGCCACAGGAAAAGAGCATAGATGCCCCACCTCCCACCCATGCTGGCCTGTAGACTCTGCCTTCCTGGACAAGGGCCCCTGGGGGCAGAAGCCATTCTCCCTCCCTGTTGGGAAGGCTAGAGTCCTCTGAATGAGAAGCTAGGGTGTAGTGGGAAGTCATGGGAAAGGCCCCAGTAACCTACCTCTGGTCTACAGGGACCAGGGCCAGGAAGCTGGGTCCCTTTCTCTGAGGGCTGTAGGGGAAGACTTTGGGGCCCTTGGGCCTGTTTTACCTCCTTACACAATCAGAAAGGGCCCTGCTCAGAGGAGCGGGGCCATGTCAGTCTGTCTATCCACGTGGCTACAGCAAAGCCTGAGCCCAGTGTCTGCCTGCCTTGCTGACTCCTGACTACTTGTGAGGGGCAGAGGGGGATCCAGCCCCTTGACCCTGCCGCCTGATGGGGACCTGGGGCCTGGACCCTGGTTCTGCGGTGAGAGTGGGGTGTGGAAGGTGGGTGGGGCAGAGAGAGGGGAGTGTTCCAGCTCAGTGCGCGTGGACCAGTGGGGGGGGAGCGGGCTCGGTTCCGCCCTGCGCGCCCCCGCCGCGGCTGGCGCGCGCTCCCGGGAGGCAGCGGTGATAGCGGCAGACGGGCAGCATCGGCAGCATCGGCAGCAGCCCCGGGGAGCCTCGGGCGGGGCCGGCCTGACCGACAGACGGACAGAGGGCACCAGGAGCGCGCGGCCCGCCCGGGCTGGCTATGGAGGGAGCCTCATTCGGCGCGGGCCGCGCGGGGGCCGCCCTGGACCCTGTGAGCTTCGCGAGGCGGCCCCAGACCCTGCTGCGGGTCGCGTCCTGGGTGAGTGTCCCCGGCCCCAGCCCCTGCCCCACCCAATACCCCATCCCACCTGGCCTCGCATCCCTAGTTCCGACCACCTCCCCATCGCCCCTGTCCCTCGCCCCCATCCTCATCCTTGCCGGCCCCTCCCCCCGCCGGCCGCAGGTTGGGGTGACGTCACCAGGCAGGGCGCGCCCACCTGCAGGCGGGGGAGGGGCTGGCGGCGACAGCCGGAGACCTTGAGAGGTCACCGCCCGCGGCACCCACCTCCCAATTCCTCCTTAGGTCTAACTCAGTACCCTTCCTCAGCTGTCGCTCCGTTTTTCCTGTGCTCACTCCCTGGAAGTGGGCACAGGAGTGGGGACAGAATTAACAGAGGGGTTTGGGCGCCCAGCCTCAGCATGAGAAGGGGCTCCCGGAGCAGAGAGAATCAGACAGCTTCCTCCCGCCTCTCCTGCTCACACATCCTCCAGGCTCCTTCCAAGAGAGCTGGCCCTTTCCAGCACCCCTAGTTGCAACTGTGAGTTGCTTTCTCAGAGGGGCAGCCAGAAGGAGTTCTGCATTGGGGGGGCCGATTTGGGAGCAGCCTAGCCTACTGGGGTAACCCTAGGCCTGGTGGCCTGCTCCTCCTGGCTGGGGAGATGGGAGATGTAATGCTGAGTTCTGGGTTTTGTCCAGCGGGTGGCGGCACCTCCTCACCTATCTTCCAGGAGGAGGCCAGTGATTAGGGTGGGGCAGGGGCCTTGGTCTTCTGCGTAGAGTGACTCCAGCCAGACCAAAAAGTAGGAACCCTACATTCTGGTTCCAGATCTGATTCAACTTGTGGACCAATCAGGGGGAACATGTCTATATCTTGCACCTTGGTTCCCCTCTTGACTCAGTCTCTAGGAGCTGGGGTGGGAAAGAAATGAAGTTGAAACTGGAGTTTTGTTTTTAGAAACATAGGGCTGCCCAGAGCTAAAAAAGCAGCATCTGGCTTAAAAGGACTGTGGTCCACCTTCTATTTACCTTCCAGCCATCACAGACACAGGGCCCTCAGGTTTGTCTGAACCCCAGGAGCCACAGTGTCACCTTTTGAGCCCATACTCTTATGGATGATATTAATCACAGTCCCCAGCACACCATGAGTTGTGCTTGTTACCACATTTGGCATGCTAGGAAACAGGGCCTCACAGCTCTTAAATGCTGAGAGCAGGTTCCAGTGAGGTCCCGCTGACACCTCTGTGCAGCAGTCCCTCTGGTGGCCCCCTCTATGCTCTGGCTCCTCTGGACCCACTGGCCGCACTCCACATCTACTTTCCTGGGCTCCACTGACTCAAGCTTGGGAATCACTGGTCCAGATGAAAGCTCCTGTCCCCACACTCTGAAGTGGGCCATGGGAGACACTAAAGGCTCCACAAGGTGCGGAGGAGCCAGCTTGAACATCTGCCCTTGCTCTTATCAGCCATGCGATCCTGGACAAATCACTTTACCTGTTGGAGCCTCAGTTTCCCCATTATCCCCAGGATAAGAACAATGCCACCCTCATGGTTTTTGCAGAGGATTCCATGAGCAAAGGCACATAGCCATTTTTAGCACAACACCTGGGTATAGTAGTTGCTCACTGGTACACATCGTCCATAGTTATTAAATACTGTAGGTATTAAGGGAGGGGTCTTGAAGACCTCCACCCAGAGATGGACTCTGTGCTTCAGGGGAACGCAGGGACACGCCCGACGGCGTTGGCGTTCATGCTGGGCTAGAAAATCTCAGGCCTCGGTGGGGAGGGGGCCATCTCAGGGCCCTGAGCGCCTCCTGCCACCCTCCCCCGGCCCACAGGTGTTCTCCATCGCCGTCTTCGGGCCCATAATCAACGAGGGCTACGTGAACGCCGACAGCGGCCCGGAGCTGCGCTGTGTCTTCAACGGGAACGCGGGAGCCTGCCGCTTCGGCGTCGTGCTAGGCCTGGGGGCCTTCCTTGCCTGCGCCTTCTTCCTGCTGCTGGACCTGCGTTTCCAGCAGATCAGCAGCGTCCGCGACCGTCGCCGCGCAGTGCTGCTCGACCTGGGCTTCTCAGGTGGGCGGGACCGGGCCAGGAGGGGCGGGCCTAGGGGGCGGGGGTGGGGCCACAGGGAGGGTGTTGTGTTCTCAGCCGAGTGTGGCTGGGACCCGTCCGGTCCCGGCGGGGCGGGGCCTCCGTTCGGCGGATACTTCTTTCCCGCGTAGCTGGGTGGGGTCCTTCTTGGAGCTCCCTGTGACCCGCTGGTTCCTCCGCAGGGCTCTGGTCCTTCCTGTGGTTCGTGGGCTTCTGTTTCCTCACCAACCAGTGGCAGCACACGGCGCCCGGGCCGGGCACGACGCAGGCAGGAGACGCGGCGCGGGCCGCCATTGCCTTCAGCTTCTTCTCCATCCTCAGCTGGGTGAGTGTGGTCGGCGGGCCGCAGGCGGCGGGGTCTGGGGCCGGGGCTAGAGCTGACCCTGGACTCCCCCTTAGGTGGCGCTTACTGTGAAGGCCCTGCAGCGGTTCCGCCTGGGCACCGACATGTCGCTCTTTGCCACCGAACAGCTGAGCACTGGGGCAGGCCAGGCGTACCCAGGCTACCCGGTTGGCAGCGGCGTAGAGGGCACTGAGACCTACCAGAGCCCGCCTTTCACCGAGACCCTGGACACCAGCCCCAAAGGGTACCAGGTGCCTGCCTACTAGTGGTGGGCAGGCCCAGACCAAGGCGCGAAGGCAGCCCCACCAGCTCAGAGCCCAAGGCCTCCTGGAGCTCTCTTGGGTCCTCCTAGCCCAGCAGCAGGGTGTGGCCAGTGTGAGCCGTCTGGGGCCAAGAGAGGGTAGCCTCCAGGGTGCTTAGGCTGTCCCCTACAAGCTCCTCCCATCCCCTTAGTCCCCAGTCCAGGGCCTGAGGTCCTGAGGAGGGCACAGCACAGCCCTAGGCACGTGTTCTCCAGCCTCCAGTGGACCAGCCTAGGCAGGGAGCCATGCCTTTCAGGAGCCAGCCAGCCTGGGGCTTACCTGTCCACCCTGGGCTCAGGGGTGCAGCTGCCCTCCATAGCCAGGTGCAGGGGCTGCCCCAGACTGAGGGTGACTAGAGGAAGGGACACTGCCCCCACTCTGTGGCCTGGTAAGCATGGCCACTGTTCCCCGTCCCATGTCCCTGTGGGTAATGATGGTCCTTGCTCTCTCCTGGTGGGTCACCCTGGAGGGCCACGTGCTCTGTCTGGAGCCTCCCTCCATTTCCTCTCACACAGGCGCACTAGACTCTGCTGGCTTGGTTGATGTCGTGGTTCTGGTCAAGTCTTCAGGTTTCACCTCGTAGTTCCCCACAAGCAGCCCCTCTGTCTGTGGGCCCTGCTCCAGCCCTTACCTGCCTTGGCCCAGGCCCCTACTGGGGTGTGGGCAGCTCTGCCCAGGAGAGCACAACATGGCTGTAGGCCTGGGCACCAGCCCTCTCCCAGCCCTTTAATAAGACCTTGCCCGTGGGAGGCTTAAGACACCTGGGTGCCTGGCAAGACACACCCCTCATGAGGAGAGAGGCCGAGAGGCTCCACCTGCCCACCACGCCCTGGAGACGGCCATTCCGTGCAAATCCCTGTACCTTGGCTTCCTGGACTAGTCCCTCAACTCCCCACTCTGCACCCCATTTTAAGGCCCAGCCTGAGGTTGCAGGTCCCTCTGCATAGCTGAGTACTCATGCATTGCTCAAAGCTGGCTTTTCACATTAAGTCAATACCAAATGCGGTTGCCACATATCATTCTTACAGACAGACGCCTCCCTCTGGAGTTGCAGTTGAGTGACAACCCTGTACATTGTAGCATAGACCAATTATGTGTGGATATTTAAGTGAACATGTTTACAATTTTTGTATATATGACACTTTCCCTCTCTCTTCTGAAAGAACAATCCGTGATTGTGTATTTTCAGTGTCCCATGTTCCAACTGCAACTTCTTTACAATAAAGACTGTAAATGAGTTTATCGTGGCCCAGACACTCTTGGAATCATTTCTACTCTGGCCCTTCCAGTGCCAGAGGTTGGAACCTGAGGGGCACCAGGGCCCAGAATCCAGAAAGGGGCAGGGAGGTGGCTAGGCTGACACTCATATTGGAGAGTGCTGGTACAAGTGGTCATGATTTCTTCAAATGTCCCCTTCTCATTACCTTCTGCTCCTGGGACTGCCAACAGGTGTACCACAGAGTCCAGAGCCACATTCCACGGCTAAATCCTTTTTGGAGATTACCCCAGCTTGGTCTTGTTTACTTTTGAACCATCTATTGGAATTTTTATCTCTTTTTCATTTCTAAAACTTCTTATTGGTTAGCAACCTCCTGGATGAACAAAGCAGATAAGCACCATCTCTGGAGCTGGAATGCTGGTTTGGCAACAGTCAAACTTGGTCTTTGGGGGCGAGTCTCTCAACTTGCCTGTGCCTCTGGTTTCTCTTCTGTAAAACAAAGATAACAGTAGTTCCTATCACACACGGTGGGGTGAGGGTTAGCATTAACACATGTAGAGCTCAGAGCAGTGTTTGTCACACAGCAAGCTTTACTTCCGTGTTGCCTGGTATTATGAATTGTGCTTCTTTAAGAACAGGTATTTTCAATATTGTTAATGAGAGAGCCTATTTTTCAGGTTTCTCTTCTGAGAGCCTTCTTGTGTGTGGTGGGGAATGCAGGTGGCCGTGGAGAGTGAAGATGGTGAAGGCTCTCCTCTCCTGGTGGGCCCTGGGCCTGGCCATCACCCAGCGACTCACTCCAGCCCAGCCACAGGCAGGCAGGTAGCATCGTCCAGGTCCTTGACTTCAGACAGTGCCATTGCAGCCATGTGGCCCCTCTGCAGGCCACTGGCCAGGTCCCCTTCATCACCATGGGCACCCCTTCTTCCTTTAAAAAAAATTTAGACGGGGCTATGTTTAGACCTTTTCTTCCACTATTTACATGTATGGCAGAAAGGAGAGATTTCAGTGCATGTCTGGTCCCCTTCCAAAATACTAGATCCAAATAATTAAGTACAAATTATTTTCTTTCAGTATTTCAGATATACCCTGCACTAAGTTGTTCTTGTTGGAGTTTATCTTTAGTAGCCCTTTCACTGGTCTATGGATGTATCCTTGAGTCTGTGACTCTCACGTTCTGAATGGGTGGTTTTACTAGGTATACAGTATAGGTCGAGCAGGGCTGTGTCATCTCCTGGAAGGCTTGGGCAGTGCTGGACCTCCAGGACCCCAGCCCACAGTTGGCTGCTGCTTCCTGTGAGTAAAGCCTGGGTGCCCAGCTCACCCCACATCTTCCCTGCCCCCGCGCTCACTGGTGACCACCTGAGCTGTGGCATCTGACAACTCTGAGTCCCCCTGGCTGTGGGGTGACCCCGGGAGGCAGAGAAGCTCAGAACACTAGCTCTGCATTATTGCAAAATAAATTTATTTAAAGATAAATTGTCTTATAAAAGGTCAGAGGCAATTTGAGATCCCAGATTCAGCTCGTCTCGTAAAAAGATTCAACTTCAAGTAGCACGATTTCGTGTCTGCTTTTAATCCTGAACATTCTTGAATCATGAAACATTCAACTGTTTACACAACACACTCAATATCTGACTCCAACACCAGTGGACCCACAGCTTCTGGCTCAGGGACCATGATGCTACAGCCCTCAGGTTCAGGAGGTCCCAAATTAGGCCACCGTGGCCACTCACTCTGACACCACAGACAGGTCCCGGCGTCCTGGCCCTTCCCAAAGCATGAGAATAACCCAGACTGGCCTGCTGCTAAGGCAGGGGCCTTCCCCAGTTCCCAGGAGAAAACCAGATGGACTCCTGCGTGATGGTGTGCTGACAGGGTGGGGTGGGCTTTCCTGGTGACCCCTGGGGGGCTGGTCAGCTGCAGGACCTGAATAGGTGGCCTCACCTGGCTGCTTGGCAGCCCAGTGGGAGAAGGAAGGAGAAAGGAGGCTCATGAGTATGGCAACTTCTGCCCACACTGGCGGGAGCTACGTGAGGATCCTGGCAATGGCTTGCAGGGAGGGGAAGTCATCATCCCGGGCGGCGTGCAGCGCCTGGTGGCTCCTGACATCACCGTGCGCGAGCACCTGCTGGCAAGTGGGGCACACGCAGCAGTCCAGGCCCGTCTGCCGGGTGCTGGCCTGCCATGCATTCTTCTTGTTCTTCTTGGCCTTGGTGCCGGGAGGCCTCTCTCGGCCTCGGAAGTCCGTGTGCGCAGACAGCAGCTCCTGCTGCTTGGCCGTGTCGGGCAGGAGCACCAGCAGCTCATTGAAGATCTTCTGGAAGTTCTCCCCGAGCAGGTCCCGGCAGCTCTTGTAATACTGGGCTGCGGAGATCACACCCTGCCACCCAGAGCAGACCAGTCACACCTGGCCCAGGCCTGGGCCCCAGGTGGCTGGACTGGCCCCCCGCAACCCCGCCTGCCTAACCTGTCTAAATTCCCCCGAGTGGCTCTTGAATTTGTTGAAGCGGGCCTCATCGCTCTGCAGGAAGTCCTTGATAGACTGGATGAGCTGCAGGTTCCTCTCCCGGAAGTTCTCAGGGACCAGGTAGGCCCGTGGCATGGTTGTCAGCCTAGGTCTGGGGTCAGGAGATGGGGAGGAGGTGGAAGCTTCAGCCTTTGGGGTGGCCCAAGGTGAAAGCACTCCCCCAGGGGCACCAGGCCAGGCGGCCCACCCTCACTCACGCTTTTGTGGTGGTGGTAGTGCTGGGGACACAGGCTGGGTGGGGGCTGGGCAGAAGGCCGGAGAAGCCAGGGGGCGGCTTGCTGATGGGGGGCACGAGACCTGGCGGAGGCGGGGGTGGAGTGCCCTTCAGAAGCACCACAGTGTTGAAGCCTGTGGCAGGGTGAGCACAGGAAGATCCCAGGACGTGACTCTCACTGGACAGGCACAGCCAGGCCTTGGTTCCCCACCTCCCATCTCATCAGGGTCAGGCTTCATCCATGACCCACCTCCGCCATGGAACAGGCCTGGGACCGGATGATGCCAAGTGCTGGCACATAAACTGTGCTCCCTCATGGCAAATCCTGTCTAAGTTAACTCACTTAAACCCATCTCAAGAGGATGCTAAAATTGCCCTGATTTATGGGGAGGAAAAGGATACAGAGAAGTTAAGTGGTGAACCGAGATCACGTCACTCACAGACGTGGAGCCTGGCTTCTGAGGCAGCTGGAAACCACTGTAGAAGCTTACCTCTTCCCTCCTGCACCTGCACCTGCACCACAGAACCTCTAGCTGTGCTCCTCGTGGGCCTGGAGGGCTCCAGCCTGACTCTGCTACTCTGACCTCTTCCCAGATGCTGAAAAGCAGGCCTGAGGCAGGTACACATACCTGGGGGCGGGGGCATCCTGGGCGGGCAGGGGCCGCCGAGCGCTGGGAAGTCTTCCTGGGGTGTGGGGCAAGGGAGGGGCCCCTGGGGCCTTGGGAGCCCAGGGGGTTCCTTGGGAGTGCTCCGAGCTGGGACCGGCCCTTCTGTGTGTCCATTGACGACAACAGCAACTGGCCCCTCAGCCCTGCCAGTGGGGGCTGTGGGGGCCTGCTCAGCCCCAGGGGACCCATCTTTGTCAGAGGGCAGTGGCGGGGGAGATGCGGCACCCAGCTTCTCAGAGCCCACTTTCTTCTTCTTGCCAACCTTGGTGAAGGTCTGGGTGGAGGCCAGTGCCAGCAGGGAGGAGACAGTGACTGTTGTGGGCACGCTCCGCAGCTCCTGGGCGGTGAGGCCAGTGCGGCCATCCTCCTCCTCCTCCTCCTCCACCGGGGGCGGCCCACCCTTTTTGCCACCCTTGCCCCCCTTCCCAGCCTTCCTGGAGGGCTGGCTGCTCCCACCAGCAGACTGGGCCCCAGTGGTGGGATGTGCCACTTTCTTGCTGCCACTGCTGTTCCAGGCAGAGATGAGGCTGGTGGGGGCAGCGGTGGGCTTGGAAGCAGAGGACACCAGGGCAGGGAAGTCGTCCTCCTGGAAGGTGCTCCTGCCCCTGCTGGGAACCGCGTATGCCAGTGGCAGCCCCACAGGGCCCAGGGCTGCTGCGGTGGAGGAGGAGGAGGAAGCAGAGGCACAGAGACTGGGAAAGTCTTCATCCTTGAGCTTCGAAGTCGGGGGTGGGAGAGTGCTGAGCCGAGGAACGGGAGAAGGTTCAGCAGCTTGCTCGTCCCTGGCCGGTCCCACACTCACCCTCTATAGGAGCCCGGCACCCTCACCCCGGTTTGTGCACACGTGTACCTTGGAAGTGCGGTCCCCACAGCCAAGCCGGTTGCTGGGAAGGCCTCTTGGCTCACAGGACCGTTTGTCGAGGATTCTTTGGGGCCTGCGAGGCACGAAAGAACCCTATGTCAGATGGATCAATGTTGAAGGCAAGATCAGGCCCCACAGAGTGACCAGAGAGCATGTGGGTTCTTGTCCACTTTCTGGGTGGGTACCCTGCCAGTCTGGGCACCACGCTCGGCAAGAGGCTGCCTCAGGCCTCTCAGGCCAGAGCAGAGACGCCTGCAAGGAAGGCCCACTCACCTGGGCCTTCACCCTGAGTCCGGGCCGGACGCCGGGGGCCCCTGGGCTCCTCAGGCCCCCGCACCACTGCCTCCTCCTTTCTGGGCCTGCTGCCCTCCACCTGGTCCTCGCTCCTGCGTGTCTCCTGCTGCTGCTGCTGCTGCTGCTGCTGCTGCTGCTGCTGCTGCTGCTGCTGCTGCTGCTGCTGCTG